TTTATATGGTTTCTATTCTTTACTGTTTTTGTAATATTTGAAATATAAATTGTGGTTGTTTCTTGTACTTGCCCTTGGTTAGCTAATATAATTTCTTTTCTCTATAGGTTTAGCCCTGATCCAGAAACATCTATGGGTCTAGTGCAGCATGAAGGTGGGCCCTGTGGCGTTTTAGCAGCAATTCAAGTAACTTCCTGATTTCTCAACATATGTGTTTTGAGTGTCCCATAATATTTGCCATGGTTAGATTTTGAAGTTTAATGATGCTGATTTGAGAATAAATTCTGGTTACAAAAGTTGAACTCTGTGGAGTCTGGACTCATGTATTTTATAAAATTATTTTCATTCTTTGCACACAGTTACCAGTGCATTAGGACCTGATTTTAGTTAATGTTCCCTTTTCTCATATATTGGTTCATTTTATTCTGATAATTTTGGAAGTCAGTTTTTTTCTATTAAAAGAAGCTTTTTTAAGCTTATTGTTTAAAAGTAGGTTGTGTTTTTTTTGGCCTCTTGGTTACTAGTGATGGGGGAGAGAAAGTAGGAGTTGTGGGATAAGGGAGAGGGAAGATGAGAGTAAGATTGGGGAAATGATGGGAGTTATATAAAGGTGGAGTAGTGGGATAAAAAATAAAAATTGTTGTTTGTTAATTAACCCAATTTGTTTTATAGAACACTCAATAATTTATTTTCTTCATTTTATGGAATAATTGAAGGCCTTACTCTGGCATGACTAACTCACACAATAAATTGGTATTTTTTTCGTCTATTGGTTCAGAATTATACGTTGACTGTGAGGGGCTGAGTAAAAAATATTGGTTTTAAACATGTAGTACTTTGGTAAACACATGGAGTGATAATATGATCTGGTTCAACTATTGAATAAGCAATGTTCATTGGTTGTAACTCATTTAATTATTTAAATTGGTTGGGGTTTATAGATTATAAAGCCTGGCGAAACAAGTCATAGCATTCGATATGGTTTCCCATTTCTTTAAATTAACAAATAATTATCTGTTAGTCTGCATCCTAGAGCAAATTGTAGATTGACACATCTGATGCATCATTTATATGAAAAGAGAAACAATACATCCAATGTATAAGGGTGTCCATTTCACTTTTGACCATTTAGCATCACTTTAATTGATAGCGTTCATATGTAATGTAAAAATAAATTTTTACGGTATTGGTGAATTGTGGTCGATTAACAGGTCTCCAATTGTGTGTGGAAGGCCTAATAGAAAGGTGATACCACCAATAGCACGACCCTATTTTAGGGCGGTGTTGCCCAAATGCCGAATCAAGCTTAAAGTGCTTTGTCTTATCTTGGATATCTGATAAGTTTGTAAGTGGCATGTCAATTGACTTAGAATGTAAAAACAGAATTTCTTTGTAATCAACGTAATTACTGTTTTCTAAATTATAAATAGTTCAAAATTTATATCATAATTACAAAAAGAAATTTACATAAAGTGAAGCATTCTATGTCTGAACTCAGATGGGTTTCATTGGCTTAGCTCCCTGTGAAAATCAGATGGTCCTAGCATTACAGCTTACCAGACCTACCTGTAGACCGCATAGGTGTAGCCTTAATGATGTAAAGAACACTAAAGAGTTTCTAATACAAAAATACATTTTTAAACCCCAAATTGATGTGGATGGGCTAGTGTAGTCTGAGAAGTGGTCCAAATTCCTCTACCAAAATTGGGTAATGATGCCCTTTATTGTTTCTCAGAAGGTTTCTAAAACAATAAGGTGGTATTTCACTTGTTGAATTTTGAAAATTTTCTAACTATATTGTAAGTAAGATTTTTGTCTCTTCAATTTTAATGATGTGGATGAAATTATGATGGGAGGAAAGAAAAAGATTGTATTGTGCCTTTTATCTTCCTTTCTTTCTAGTATCTATGTTTCACATAAGACTCAGTTTTTTTATTCGTGATGTCTTTGATGTAGTACTAGTTATCGTGGGATTGCTATCATCATATGTTAGTTTTTGTTGCTGTAATGAGATATATTTGTTTGCTTTCACCCCTAGGTTTATTTGATCTTTTTGTCACTCTGTTTTATTATTATTATTGTTGTTGTGGTTGTTGTTGATGTTACTGTTTTATATTTCTTGGTGTTGTGTTAAAAACTGCTATTGACTTGTACATGCATGTCATGATTCTATATTTACATTGGTTACAGTATTTTCTGTTTGGTTGTGCAGGCATTTGTTCTCAAATACCTCCTTTTCTGCCCAGCTGAATTAGGTAAAGTTGTACCAAACGTGCATCACAATATGGGTTCAAGGACACTGTCTAATAGTCCGTGTGTTGCATCGAATAATTTTGCCTCTCTTACTGAAGATGCAAAAGCAAGGTGATTAATCGTTGCATGGTAAATTATACATCTGTGGTTTTAGTTGATGATGCTTATGCATTATGTTATTCATATTGGACTTTTACTGTTTCATAGTCCAATCTAGGGAGAATCATAGAAATCTGTTTAAAGCATATGATCCTGTACATCCTTTCTGGTTTACTCATTTCTGTAGCCAATTGTTTAGTTGCGTGTTTACACACTGCAAACTGGTGTCGTCCTTTGTAAGTTTACACTAATTTTACTGTCCTAATGCTGTTTAACTTCTGGTTCTTTCCATAACTTTGAGTATGGAATTTTTTTTCTAGGATGCGCAGAATGCTTTTTCAGTTGTTTTTGTCCCACTATCATCATTTTAACCTGCACGCTTATAAAGTCTAACTTTTCATAACTATTTTACTTTTATATGTCAAAGTTTTGTAGTATTTACTTTCTCCATGTATGTTGTCTCCAGAAATCATCTATAATTTTTTGAACTTTGTTTTACGCGTAGACACAATATACTCTTTCATGTGCAAGGCTTCCTGCTTATATGATTATTATTTTCTCTTAAATCTGGCACAAAGTCTTTGTAGAACCTTCATTTATATCAATACTTCCATGTCTGAGATGACCCTGCTTCAGCTAAAATTGACGTTTAGTGCTTTATCATATGCCTATAGTCATGGTTTTCGTT